TCTCTCTCTCTCTCTCTCTCTCTCTCTCTCTCTCTCTCTCTCTACCTCTCTACCTGTTTGTCTCTTCTTACTGTTTGACTATTTCTCTGAAACTGTGGCACTGATGGAATCTCATCTCAAACCCAAAAATGAGAAATTGTGTTCAGTGGTTAGGTAGTTTGATAGTCGTCTGGTAACATGATAGTCGTCCACTAATCAACGGTTTGGCGGTTCGATCCTTGGCCTCTTCTGTCCTCACGCCAAAGTGTCCTTGAGCAAGACAATCAACCCTAATGTGCTCCTCATGATTAGACCAACTTTCTCCATAAATGATTCTGCTTGGTAGCATGTCACAGCCCTCTCTCCTCCCACTGTCAGCCTCTGCCTCTACACTGTCAAATACAGGGTGAAAATGCCCAAAAGATAATCTTTAAAAATAGAACAGATGATTGTTATATGATGAATCAGACATGCATTTGAAAGACACGTTCTATATCATAGCAAGAATTAAAGCAAACCCTTTCTCAGTGAAGCTGTCAGAGGGTCTTACTTTAACTTATACTTTGATTCAGGCTTCATATACTGTACTTCTAATCTAGATATATATTAACAAACCACAGCCACTTATTGGGAGTCGTAAAGTGACTGGAGCCTATGCTGGCTTCCCGTGGGTGAGAGGAAGTAAACGTAATGCAGCCTGTTATGTACCTTGTGCACGATGCATCCTCTTAAATAATCCCTTGTTTTGCCCGTGTGGAGCAACATTGGTGACTGCTCTTTTTAAAACTTGTATTAATCGAATCCAACTTTTTCCATTAGCATCTCAGTCTTGTTGAAATATAATTCAATCATTTCCTGGTGTGATTAGTTTGTAGTCGTATCAATTAAAGTGCCTTGTGCAGAATGGTGCTCAGGTTTTTTTGACACTGAAAAAATGATTTTTAATAGTGAGGAAATGAGTTCGGTATTGGGGAAATTAGTCCATTTTGATGCAGGAAATGGATATAGGAGATTAGGCTTATTTTCAGTTGCTAATTAGAGCTATTACTAGCATGATAATCGAAGCTTCCCCCTCATCCAAATCAATGCTCCCAGTCACTTTCAATCAAAACTGCTCAGTTGTCTGTGTAAATAATACGTCATTACATGTCTCATTTAATCACAAATCAGTCTTTTTATTTGAAAGAGTTTTCCTTCATTCCTCTGACTTGAAGCCATTTCCTGTCACCACAGTATACAAGAGACCGCCGGCTTTTTCACGGTACAAACAGTTGTTTAGACTCCAGATAGTGTGAAACAACAAAGTGCAAAACCATCAAATCAAATCCTGCTTTCACAAAGGGAGTCCTTGACTTTTGCTTTACCTCAGACTAATATTCAGCCTTCAGCACAACGCACTCTAGGGCCTGACTGCTTCGCAATGAATTCTGGATAATAGAGACATTATTCAACTGCATCAAACTGCACAGTTTGCAAACTTACTCCAGCTGAACGCGTTTTTCTACGCGTTTTTCTACACAAACATTTTACTGTTAAAATTCAGCAAAGAGTGTTCCAGTAATACAAAGTCTCAGTGCAGTGCCGAGCTGCAGCAGGGCTGAGATACTGTGTCTTCTTAATGTGGCAGCACCGGCAGTACTTCTGCTCACTCGTCAGTCAGGCTCAGGATAGTTTCCTTGGACAAATGAACGGCTGTAGTATATCTCAAACAGGTAACTCTCTGAAAAACCCTTTTCTCTTCTCAATACTTGTTCCACTAAAATGTTAGTAGACCTCAAATTATGAGCTGTCAGCAGACGTATTGTTAACATGGAGACATGGCTCTTAGTTCTGAGTCATCATGATGGAATCTAAGAGCAAAAAAGAAGAGCGGCCTAAACACTACAGACCAGTCTAAAAATATCTGTGTGAAACCAGCCCTGCACTCATCAGATCCTTGAGTAGAACTTAAGAACACATTCTTCTGGTCACATCAGCCAGACCTAGCCAAACTTCATGCCAGATTACAGCAAATATGCGTTAGCATGCTCGACTTATTTCTGTTCAAGTTCTCTACGAAGGTAGCTGCAATGCCGACTCTCTCGCTTTAACTGAAGAGCAACCAGCAGTCGGCTATTCCAGCTCCAGCGTTCTCATTTGCCCTCGCATTATTCTCGTATGAATAGAATAGAAGAATAGAATAGAAATATACTGTACTTTATTCATCCCCAAGGGGAAATTTGTCTGTGGCAGCAGCAAACAAGGTTACACAAAATAAAAATATTAAGTATGGAAAATGCACAATATATACAATATAATAAAATACAATAAAATAACAGAGCAGGACCTATTCAATTTAAGAAAATAAAGTAATAAAAATGCACAGTATATACACTAAATAGAATCATATTAAATTAACTAAGTAGGAAAAAATAAACTAAACAGTAGTGCACACTATCACCAACAGCAGCAACAACAGTTAGCAGTGTTATAGTCTTGTGTTTGATTTGGCCAGAGGTGATTTATTGTAGAGTCTAATAGCAGAGGGCAGGAATGTTCTCCTGTATCGGTCCTTGTGACAGCGGAGCTGAATCAGTCTGTTGGAGAAAGTGCTCCGCTGTCCCTGCAGTAGGTGGTGGAGAGGGTGGTCCGGGTTATCCAATATGGACAATAGTATGGGATTTTAAGAGAAGATGAGTCGGCTGGGTTTTTTTTGAGCAGGTGTTTGAGATGCTGGAATGAATCAGTTGTGCTGCTGCTTTTAGTTGCTACAAACTTTACTTCGAACAGTGTTTTGGGAACGAACTCTTCACTTTTCTAAGCGCGTGCATTACGGATATCATGAGGATATTTTACTTGTTCCATTTACGATGAACTTCCACAGGAGGTCAGTGAAGCAGTTCAACCCAGGTCAAAGTGAAAATCATTCAATTTCATTTAAAAAAATATTCCTAAAGCATGAATTCAAATTAATTGATAAAATCGATTTGTCGCCTCTGGCCCCTCTCCTCCTTTCTCCTCTCCTCTCCTCCCCTCCCCTCCCCTCTTTTCTCCTCTCCTCCCCTCCCCTCCCCTCTTTTCTCCTCCCCTCTCCTCTCCTCTCCTCCCCTCCCCTCCTTTCTCCTCTCCTCCCCTCCCCTCCCATCCTTTCTCCTCTCCTCCCCTCCCCTCCCCTCTTTTCTCCTCTC